GGTTTGTGTGATGGAGAGAGAGAGAGAATCTGTGACTGAGAGAGGCAGAGAGAAAGACTGTGTGTGAGACAGAAAGAGACTGTGAGTTTGTGAGAGAACGACAGAAAGAGACTGTGTGTTTGTGAGAGAGAGACAGAAAGAGATTGCGTGTTTGTGAGAGAGGGAGACAGGGAGAGACTGTGTGTGTGTGTGTGAGAGAGAGAGAGAGAGAGAGAGAGAGGAGAGAGAGAGACAGAGAGAGACAGAGAGAAAGCGTGTGAGAGAGACGATGTGTGGGAGAGGGAGTCTTACTGTGTGCGTGAGAGAAAGACGATATGTGTGTGAGAGAGAGAGACTGTGTGAGAGACAGAAAATGTGTGTTTGTGAGAGAGACTATGTGTGAAACAGAAAGAGACTGTTTGTTTGTGAGTGAGAGAGATATAAAGAGACTGTGTGATTGTGAGAGAGATAAACAGAAAGAGACTGAGTGCTTTTGAGAAAGAGAGAGACAGAAAGAGAGGGTTTGACTGTGAGAGAGAGAGAGACAGAGAAAGATTGTGTGTGTGTTTGCGTTTATGAGAGAGAGGGAGAGAGAGAGAGCGACACTGTATGTGTGAGAGAGTGTGTGAGAGAGAGACTGTTTGAGTGAGAGAGAGACTGTGTGTGTGTGTGTGTGTGAGAGAGAGAGAGACTCCGTGTGTGATAGAGGGAGAGAGAGCGAGACTGTGTGTATGAGAGAGAGAGAGATACTCTGTGTGTGAGAGAGGCACAGCCGGATACTGTATATGTGTGTTAGAGAGAGAGAGAGAGAGAGATAGAGACTCTGTGAGTGTGTGTGAGAGAGAATGACTGTGTGTGTGAGATAATAAGAGACTGTATGTGTGAGAGGCACAGAGAGTGACTGTTTGTGTGTGACTGAGAGACTGTGTATGTGAGAGAAATAGAGAGAGGGAGACCGTGTGTGAGAGAGACATAATGTGTGTCTGAGAGAGCCAGAGAGAGACTGCTTGTGTGATACAGAAAGAGATTGTGTGTTTGTGAGAGAGAAACAGAGAAAGACAGTGTTTGTGAGAGAGTGGGAGAGAGAAAGTGTGTGTGACTGAGAGACTATGTGTGTGTTAGAGACAGAGTGAGAGAGAGAGTGCTGTATTTGTGAGAGAGACTGTGTGTGTGAGAGAGACACTCTGTGTGTGTGAGAGAGAGATAATGTGTGTGTGTGTGAGAGAGAGTGAGCGTGTGGGAGACAGAGACTGTGTGTGTGAGAGAGAGCTGTGTCAAAAAGAGAGACGTTGTGTGTGAGAGAGACTGTGTGTGTGTGAGAGAGAGAGAATGTGTGTGTGAGAGAGTGAGATACTGTGTGTGTGTGTGAGAGAGTGTGTGTGTGTGAGAGAGAGAGACTGTGGGTGTGTGAGTTCGAGAGATTGTCTGTGAGAGAGACTGTGTGTGTGAGAGAGAGACTGTGTGTGGAGAGAGAGACTGTGTGTGAGAGAGAGAGACTGTGTGTGTGAGAGAGAAGACTGTGTGTGTGAGAGAGCAGACTGTGTGTGTGTGTGAGAGAAAGAGAGATGTGTGTGTAAGATAGAGACTGGTGTGTGTGAGAGAGAGACTGTGTGTGTGAGAGAGAGAGACTCTGTGTGTGTGAGAGAGAGAGACTGTGTGTGTGTGTGTGTGAGAGAGAGACTGTGTGTGTGTGAGAGAGAGAGTGTGTGTGTGAGAGAGAGAGAGAACGTGAGTGTGTGAGAGAGAGAGAACGTGTGTGTGTGTGAGAGAGAGAGACTGTGTGTGTGACGGAGAGAGAGAGACAATTTGTGTGTGTGAGAGAGACTGTGGGGAGATGTCTGTCTCTGTGTCCCTGTATCTCTGTGTCTGTGTCTCTCTGTGTCTGTCTCTGTCTCTGTGTTCTGTGTCTGACCCCCCCCCCCCCCCCCCCACATCCGAGGGCTCTGAGCCGCGCGGCATGCTGGGAGCTGTAGTTCCCGGGGGTCTGTGGCTGTGATGGTGACAGAGAGAGTGAGTGAGTGTGAGAGAGACAGCGACTGACCTGCGGACGTCATGTTTCTCTCTTTCCCCTCTCTCTCTCTCTATCACTCTCTCTCTCTCCCCTCTCTCTCTGTGTAACTGCTGCCGCCGCCATTGCCCTTTGTCTCTGTCTCTCTCTCTCTCTCTCTCGAGCTGCCGCCCACGGTCTCCGGGCACCTGACGCCATGACGCTTTCAGGATGCGCTCGAGCCGACGTCAGCACGTCCATTGCTCTCGGTGTACGTGTGTGTGTGTGCAGGTGTGACAGCACGTACGGCACCGCCACCCAGTGCTCGCCGCCATTTTGTACGGCGCCGCAAACCCTGCGCCGACGGCCATGTTGTACGGCGCCGCAAACCCACCGCTGACCGCCATGTTGTACGGCACAGCTTCTCCGCTATGTGGCTCTCAATCTCTTTCTCTCTCTCACGTATTGACCTTGAGCGCCTCCAACCATTTTAGTACCTCCATTCTGTTCATTCATTTCCTATTAGTCCTTCTGCTGCGAGGCGCCTATTATACAACAACAACAAAATTATATTTATAGACGCCATTCACGATGGGAGGACGTCCCACAGCGCTGAACATTCAGGTATCGGGGCCCGATCAGGGGGGCGGGGTGGGGTTGGTTAGGGGGGATTGGTGGGGTTGAAGGGTAGTGGGAGGGATCCTGTAGAGGTGGGGCTGATGGTGAGAGGTGGAGGGAAGGGTTTGTGCAGTGGTGGGGAAGCGGTGGTGTAGGGTTGGAGGAGTCGTGGTGTAGAGCTTACGGAAGGCAGGGAGATGGGAAGGAGACCAAAGGCACGTTCGAACAGAAGGGAATACATATTGGCTTTCAAGGAGGAATGGGAGGAAGCGAGGAGAAGGGATCGTGGGATAGAGTTTCAGAGTATGTGGGTAGAGTGGCTGAAAGCCGGTCCACATATGTTCGGGCGGGAGACATGCACCGGACCGGAGCATGAAGAACGGAGAGAGCGGGACAGTTGGTAGGGAGTCAGGAGGTCAGAGAGGTAGGAGGGAACAAGATCATGGATGGCCTTCAAGTTAAGGAACAGGATCGTGAACTGGATCCTCAGTGGAATGTGGAGCCAGTGGAGTCGGGCTCGGGTGGGAGTGATGTGAGTGTCTTCAGCCACTGCGCCCAGAGGCTCCGGAACTGCCTTCCTCACTCCCTTTCCCTCGCTCCCGCCCTTCCCATTTTCAGGTCTCTGCTCAAGACCGTTGTATTCGACCGCGACTTTGGTCACATTCCCTCCCCTCCCCCTGGCTCGGTCCCGTGATCCATTACGGTGAAGCGCTCTGAGACGCCGTCCGGCGTGGAGGGCGCTTGATATATCCAAGTTGTTGTTGTTGTTGTTGTTGTGAGCTGGAGCAGGAGAAAATGGAAGCCTGAAACCCACATTGAATACATTGTAAAATAAAAAGGTCTAAAACATGAGAGCATAACATTTTCTGGGCGACAGAATACCAAGGCACACCGAGCTTGCGTTCCACCATCAAGTTTACCTTCTTTTCCATTGAACGACAGAGACTTCTATTGACATTTTGTGCAAGCAAATTGCAGCTTTTGATTGATATGATTGCTGTCACAGGCAATACCTGGTTAATAAGAAACGACAACTACTGTAAATTAGATATTCAAAGGTAAAATCTGAATGCAAATAGATGGAAACACTGACCACAGTGGGCGTGGGATTGTTTGCTCATCAGGCTTCATGTTCTCCCAAAACATACATTTAAATGAAGTACAAATATCCTTGAAATTTGATATGGATCAAATCAGCAACTAATTTAGGAACAACGGTTTTTGAAGAATAACTTGCAATGTCGTAGAAATATAAGAGTTACGTATTCGCAGATAGCTACCAGTTATTTTATTTAAGCTGTGCTGGAATGCTTTGCAAATAAATATTGCGAGAAAGCTGACTGATGCTTGAAAAGGTTGTGGACAGAAGTTACTGTGGCGCAAATGGTCAGCGCGTTCGGCTGCTAACCGAAATTTTGGTGGTTCAAACACACCCAGGGAAGGTGCTCTTCTGGAATAAATATATTATTCTTCAATTGCTTCCCAGCACGTGAATTAATTCAAGAAAAACTTGATCGGATGCGTTGTCTTTATTTTCAAAGTATTCCAAAACGCTCCTCACTTGGTTCATTGACAAATTGGAACAGCTCTTGCTTCGTATTGGAATTCAACGACTTCCTTCCTCCTATGTTCCGGAAGCATTCGGAATTTAAAGAGAAATTACTTGCCGGAAGATATTTAATCGTGTCGAGGAATGGCATTGCTGGGCCTGGAGAGTGAAACTAATCTACGCTGGAATCAAAGTGATCGAACGGCCAACGACACAAACGCACTCTGAGGGTATTGGCTCATGAACAAAAACGTTGGCTTCTCGTTGGATCAATGGAAGAAGGAATAATTTTGTTAGCTTCTGCACACAGCTCTTTCCGGTCAGAAATCACATCTGATCTGTACAATGTACGAGCTGAAAAAGATCATTTGATAGCGGTTGGATCCGAGCCCATGCCCGCTTAGAAAATGGAGCCTGGATTCAGCGCCTTAGACAGCTGGGCCACGATCTACTCTGTTTGTGAAAAATGACGATAATTGAGATTGAGTGCGGTGGAGTAATCGAGCTGGAATTCCAGAAGCTGGTGCCTTGTGAATGAAGGTCGAAAAGGTTGCCTGCACCTGCAGTACAGGAAACACAAGGAAGGTAAATGTAATCTCAGTGCAGGAGGTGGGCAAGAAACATAGATAAGATCAGCGTTAGCTCAGTGCAGGAGGTGGGCAGAGACACACAGGGAAGGTCAGTGTTAGCTCAGTGCAGGAGGCGAGAAGACTGCGGCGTGAAATCCCTGACCTTGAAAGCGACCATTAAAATACTTTCAGTGAGATGTGGGGTGATGGGGTGCGCTGTTTCTTGTAATTGAGGGTATGGAGTGACAGTTGGGTAAAGGTTTGGCATATTCAGTGTACGGGTTCTCACATTCCTCTGATGCCGGCGTCATCTGCTCAGGTAAGCATTTTCAGTCTCCCATCATGTTTTTCAATCCTCATATTTTCGGTAAAACCACAGTTTGAGAAACGCTGAAAGAGATTGTATTCCACATTGTGTCAGGTTATTATTACATCTCTAATTTGGAGGGTTGCCCTGCACTGCCATGCCCCAACCCCCCCCAACCACCCACCCACCACCACCACCGCCCTCCGCCGTCGCTCAATGTTGATTTTCTTTATTTTCCCTTTGTCTGCTCAGGAGAGGCTTCATTCATTGATTCAGACTTGTTTTTAAACCGGAACAAATATATGTTGAAATCCGAAATGATTCCTTAGGGTGTTTCATCCAAGACAGTCCCTCAATCTCTCCGACTTCTGGTTTCCTGGGTTTATTTGGCAAATTGCTGCGAAATATAGACCGTGCTTACAGACAGTGTTTACTTTCTTCATTGTCCTCATTATCTTCTGAGATCCCCATTGCACAGCAGGAACTTTCAGTCCCTTCCTTACGCTCTCAGGCTCTCAGACTCCCATTAGATAGTAGGTAATCTCTCTTTTCATCCTCTCAGGCCCCTTTTGCACCAAAGTTATTGTCATTCCCTTCCTCACCCTCTCCCACCCCCATTGCACAGGAGGTGCTATCTCTCCTCACCCAGGAGACTCCCATTGCACAGCAGATATACTATAACTCCTCACCCTCGCGGACTTCCATTGCACAGCAGATAGTGCTATTTCTCTGCTCACACTCTCAATCCCCATTGCACCTGAGGTATTGTCTCTCCCCACCTTCTCAGACCCCATTGTCTCTCAGGTGGTGTCTCTCCTAACTCTCTCAGCCTCCTCTTGCACAGCAGTTACTGTTCCTGCTCACACTCTCAGACCCCATTGCAGACCCCATTGAATTGCAGGTAATGTCATTCCACCCCAGTCACTTCACTCTTAATGCACAGAAGCTACTTCTAAATGATTTGGGACGTCATTCTAACCTGCAGTTCACAGCATGAACTCATCTTGTGTCCTTTTGAAGCTGGGTAAGATATTTGTGGGTAAATTCATGCTACTCAGCACAACAATAAATACGTGCACTGATACAGCGCACTCCACGCAGGTAGTATCTCAGGGCGCTTAACGACTACCTCGATCACCTGACAAATATCTAAATGTGGATTTCTCACTCTACATTTCTGATGATTGTTTCTGTTTTGATCTGTTTGCTGTCTGCAGTTAATTTCTCTGTCAATCACTAGGTACGTTCTTTGTATTATAATAACTCATATCACGTTAAATCTTCCACTACAGAACATTATCCCCAAAATTAATTGGTGGAAGCAATGCCTGTTCCGGCAGAGTTGAATTGCAGCGCGATTATAAATCAGGAACCATCTGCGATCATTATTGGGATTTACAGGACGCCGATGTGCTCTGCAGGCAATTGGATTGTGGGTTCGCTTTGTCAACTGGTTCTGGAACACAGTTTGGGAAAGAAACAGGTCTTATCTGGAAAACTAACTTCAATTGTGTCGGTAATGAATCCTTAGTGTCGGACTGTCCTGTATCATTCTGGGAGAAGTTCAGCTGTACACATGACCATGATGTTACTGTTGTATGTTCCGGTGAGTGAAATAATAATTCTTAGATTTGATACAGTTCATTACTAAATGATTATTATTAAGTCATTCAGACTTCTCAACGCGCTTCTAATAATATAACTTAACGAAATCTGACTCATATTTTATCGGCGGAAAAGCTAAAAACTTAAAAAATAATGGGTTATACTCTTTAAAAGTAAAATCTACCTTTGATTAAATGATACGCTCTCTGTCTTAGAAAATCTAATCTATTGTGTGCGTAAGATTTGCGGTTAGTTATTATTCAGGTATCAGAGGTGACAGCAATCTCCATCTCTAAAAATAAGCACAAACCAAAACTGTTGCTTCTTTGGATTTTCAAAATTAGCCAATTTGCCCCGAGTCCGTAAAATTATATTTATTTTATTATTACATACGAGAGCATAGACTCCTGAGACAAAGTGTTTACTCCTAATTCCCATACAGTTGCCTGGTCCTGATAAAGTACAATCTCTGGTTTTAGACTGTGACGATAATGCTCTTCTGCTACAAATGCAATGATGCTTTACAATATTCTCCTTCTCTTCACGATTGTTTTTCCTTCTAGCACATGTGGTGATTTGTGCACATGGGCTGGAGGCTGCTATAATTTTTTGTGTTATTGTCTGTTGATTATGTGTAGCTGTGAACACCAGTAGCATCGTCGTCTGTGAAATTTCGTGTAATTTCTACGTTATTATGTATATTTCTGTGAATTTTGTCGAGTATATTGTCAAATTCGAAAGGCCTGTTTTTAATTACGAATATGATAAACTTATCTTCAGCTCTCACAGCTTTGATGGTGAAATTGTGCCTTGAAATCTTTGCAGGTGAACAGTGGCATTTACGGTAAGAGAGCGGTGGGAGCCGCTGTGATGGGCGAGTGGAGATTTATCATGAAGGCACCTGGGGCAGATTACTGGATGATTCCTGGAATATATCAGATGGCAATGTCATCTGCCGACAGCTAAACTGTGGCTCTGCTATTTCAGTCTACTACTCTTCCCAGTACGGGGAAGGCAGTGGACCTGTGTGGATCAATAATGTTCAGTGCGTAGGAAGCGAGACACACATCTGGAGCTGCCCACATTCCACAGTGGCTTCATCCTCCGGGAGCAGCCGGGATGTGGGAGTTCTTTGTTCGGGTGAGTGCAGTTGACTGATAAATAGAATAAGTGGAATAAATCTTTGTTAATTTTGGTAACACATTGCTAGATAACTTATATTATGCCTCTCTCTCGGTGATTGCTCATCTTAATTGATGTAGAAATGCCCGCCAGTTTGAATTCTTCCGCCTCTGATGCTGGGACAAGAGAATGAACGTCAATACACAATGAAAGTTCACACACGTACATTGACGATCAATTAATTTTTTGGATGATGAATGATATCAAACCGCAGACGTTCTGTTTATATCCTAAATAGAAGCTTGACATATTGTTTTACTTTGCAACAGAACACAAACAGCTAACATTAAATGAATCAAATTGGAAAACATTTCGTACTGGAGTTCAGAGTTCAAGTGAGTGAACGTTTACCAATATTCTTTATTTCACGAGGAGGTTTTAAATAGCATTTTAAATTGGTGCATGTTATACCTTCAATTAAAGTTTCCTCATTTTCAACAGAAGATGTTCAGATCAGACTGATGGACGGCGGGAGTTCGTGTGCTGGGAGAGTGGAGATTTACTACAACGGAACCTGGGGGACGGTGTGTGATGACTCCTGGGGATCAATTGAGTCGAATGTTGTGTGCAAACAGCTGGGATGTGGATCTGCAGTTCATACAACATCTGCGGCCACTTGTGGACGAGCCTCAGCTCCAGTTTGGCTGGATGACGTGAGATGTTCAGGAAAGGAATCAGCTCTCTGGGAATGTCCCTCTTCTCCATGGGGGCAACATGACTGTTATCATAAAGAAGATGTGAGCATCGTGTGTGAAGGTAAGAGATTAATCACTTTGCCTTACATCAGCAAATTCTACTGATTGGGTGTGAGCTTGGATCAGATTTTAGCACTTTCTCCGTTCAGGTAAATGATATTAGGTTTCAAACGCCTCATGGAATAATTTTGGCAAAAGCTAACAATTCAGTGCAGTAATCTTTGCCTCCGAGGGTGTAACTACATGTTCACGTGAGAAAAAATTATCCCACGGGCAATGCTGGAAAAGGCAAGGATGATTCCCACTGTGCCCGGGCCAACTATACTGGCGATGAAACATGTGGAGTCCTGTAGCTCAGGTGGAGTCCTGTAGCTCAGTGGTTTGATCACTGGCTTTGCAAGTGAGAGACGTGAGTTCAATTCCAGGTAGGGCGAGACCTTAGGCAAGTTTCCTTGCTCCACAAAGAGCCTAATAATAATCCCTCCAAAAATCAAAAACAATAATAAATTGGTCATTTTTCAATCCAGGACTGTTTGTGGGACATTGCTGTGCGCAACTGGCTGCCGCGTTTGCCCACAAAATACAATCAATTCACTTTACAGTGTGTTCTGTGAAGCGCTTTAGGACGCACTCCTACGTGAAAAGCGCTATATCAAATGCAAGGATTATTATTATTATTGTCATTATCTTCTATTTGTGGTTAGATGCGGGATATTGTATGGCATTATGTGTCTAGATGTTCCGTCACCACAGTGAGAAACAGCTGTAAAAATAATAATAATAAGCCTTGAATTTGATATAGCGCTTTTTACGTCGGGAGGACGACCCAAAGCGCTTCACAGAATACACTGTAAAGTGATTTGTCTGTTTATTTGTGGGCGAACGCGACAGCCAATTGCGCACAGCAATGTCCCACAAACAGTCGTAAATTGAAACTGACCAATTTATTATTGTTTTTGGAGGGATTAGTATTAGGCTCTGCGTGTAGTAAGGAAACTTGCCCAAGGTTTCGCTCTCTGCCTGAAATTGAACTCAGGTCTCTCGCTTGCAAAGCGAGTGCTCTAACCACTGAGCTACAGGAGGTAGATTGACTACGTTGCAGTTGAGAGATTTCAATTCTATCATACCACCATGTTGCCTCACAGAGCACAAGATGCTGCGGCTGGCGAATGGGCTACATTCCTGCGAGGGGAGAGTGGAAGTGTTTTACAATGGGACCTGGGGCACAGTCTGCTCGGACTCCATGGGAATCGACGAAGCTGAGGTAATCTGCAAACAGTTAGATTGTGGCAAATCTCTCGAAGTTGAATATGATGGAAAATTTGACGAAGGATCTGGACCTATTTGGTTGGATGACATGGAGTGCAATTCAAACGAATCCTTCTTGTGGCAGTGCTCCTCACGACCTTGGGGTGAACATAACTGTGTTCATTCGGAAGATGTGGGTGTGATGTGTTCAGGTAGTAAAATGTCCCTTAGTTCACATCTCTGATTAAATATTTATTGTATTTATGTTTGAACCAGTTTGCTTATCTGATGTATGTTTGATGCAGAGAAAGCTCCGGAAAAAACGGAGAGGGCAAAACTATGCGATGGGAGATCACCGGATCAGCAGATTCGTTTATCAGGTACTGAATGAAAAATAAATGAATGAACAGAATTTGTATTTGTTATCAAATCATTCGCATCAGATGGAATTCTAAGTGCGCTTCACATTATCTACTGTAACGAGCTTTGACTGTAAAAATAATAATCCTTCCATTGGATAATGCGCTTTTCACGTTTTCCTGAATTGCAAACCGCTTCACGGAATTTACTGGAAAGTGAAGCGACTGCATATTTGTGGGCTAAACGCGGCAGACAATTGAGGAAAGCGGTGTCCCACAACCAATTATCGATCTAGTGATCAAATTATTATCACTAATATTTACTTTTGAAGGTTTATTTATAACAGATCCTGTAAATAATACTTTACATGATAAATTCGTTTGATGACAATATGGAAGATTGCGTATTTTACTGGTTTGAGTAACCAACATGTGACATGAATACTGTCTATCAATACTTCCTCCCGACGTGAAATGCGCTATACGAATGTAATCTTGTTGTTGTTGTTGCTGTCTGATCAGGACAAGAGTTGCGGTTGGTTGGAGGAAGCAGCATTTGCTCTGGCAGAGTTGAAATATTGAGCAATAACACGTGGGGGACGGTGTGTGACGACTCCTGGGATATCCGAGAGGCCAGTGTGGTGTGCAGACAGCTTGATTGCGGCCCCGCCGTGCGGGCTGTGGGACAGGCGGGTTCGGACAAGGCGTTGGTCAGATATGGCTGGACGAGCTTCACTGCAGAGGAAGTGAATCCTTTCTGTGGGATTGTGTCTCTTCATCCGCGGGTCAAAGTGACTGCCTTCACAAGGAAGATGCTGGTGTGGTTTGCTCCGGTAGGGATCTGATCTCTCAATGTTCAGTGTATTTAATGCAAATTTTTTTTTTTAATTTTTCTCACCAAAAGCAGAATAATTGACATCACTTCAAGCTAGAAATGGAATTGTGAATGGATTAATGGTGTCGGTGATGTTTTACAGGTAAACCTCCCAGACCGCCAATCCAAACCCCATCCTTTGGTAAATAACACAATTGCTCGCCTTCTTGATGATGTGTTGCTTAACATTCATAGATATTACCACTCGGTATTGTCTTTGATTCGTAAACAAGGAAATATACTTAAACAGCACATTTGTAAACTAACCTGTCAGAAGTCAACTTTTTAGAAATTAACAGGCTGTTTAACTTCAGGAAAAGATCTTCATATATTCCATTATTCGCATGGTTCGGGCATTCTTCTGACTACACTGTGCAACGTGTCATACATTATTTGGCCTGAGATATTCTTCAGTATAGTATGAAGATATGTCGTTATAATTTCGAAAGTGTGACTCCCACATATTAAAATAACCAATGTTATGTCCTTGGTTTACAAAGTCCAGCTGATCAACATCCCTTTTGTGGTCTGCATCGCGCTTGGAATCCTGTTAGCAATGGTACTGTTTGTACTGATTGTACAGATGGACAGCAATTCTTCAGTAACAGGTGAGCCTGGAATCTGGTCTCACAGCACTGCCTGGAGCTCGTTATCAATACAGATAAAATCCTTTTGACGTTTCTATGTCTTGTCACTTTTGTTAATTTTGTACTCTTGTCTGTTTTAACTGTCACGATTTCATTGCTATGTTCACATGTATCTCTAAAGTTGAACAAACTGAAACTAAAGACATATACGTTCAAATGCGTAGCTCAAATACAAACACAGATGCATAAAGTAAACCCATCAGACACAAGTAGGCCTCAACGTAAGACTGAGCACACCAACATATTTTTCATTAAAGTATACAAAAAAAGGATTTAAACTGACACAAAAACGTAGATACCCAAAGGATCACAAATACACAGTTGTATTAAGACACCAACACACAGAGTGAGTAGATATTTGTAGATACCTAAAGACAAATGCACAGTCATATTTATCGATTGAAACAAACACTTACAAAAACAAGTATACTGATGAATATTGAGGCAATAGTGACGATGATATATTGATATTTTCAAATAATAATACTAACGTAACATGTTCCAAATATTTACACATCAATTTCAAACTCCACTGTGCAATTTCAGGTTAATATTTTAATTTCTGTATATGTCAACTTCCAACAGAGGAAAAATATCCGTCTGTTCGTTTGTATCAAGCAATTTATGAAGAAATTGAGGAACGACCAATCAGAAGAAGAAATTTTGAGTCTGGCTCCTCTGGTACATACTTTACAATCATGTTTATTGTATCCGCATCATTGTACAAAAAACATCAACATTAGTATCCCAATTGGTGGCAAATGCAAATGATTGAATGCGCTGTGGATAGGATTTCAAGCTTTTATTCAGAGAACTGAAAAAGCCACATCTTGTTGCGTTGTATCAATTTACCCATTTAATAGAGAGAAAACCTACTCAATACTTCAATTTGCTCGGTCTTTCAATTTTCAAATATTATCAACAAAGATTTCTGCACTTACCAATTAAATTAAGTTACATTATTTAATTTAATATACAATAAAATAACTGTTAGATAGTGGGCTTTATTACTTCACTAAAACGAAACCTACAGAAAGCAAATATAAGCGATGGTTATAGCGTGTCTGTAGTCCAGCGAATATCCAAAATAATACCATGTTGTCAAATGTATCATTTGTAGCCTAAACAGAGGCAGTATTCAAAAATCATATTAATATTATTTAACCAACTCGCTCGTGGTATGTTAAAGATTTTCGCTTGATCAACGTCATATTTTTGAGCGGTTGACCATATTTTTATCCATGGAAAGTGATCCACGATTTCGGAAAATAACTCTCATTTTTGATACCTTTCTTCATTTTGATATTGGAGTTGAATTAGGCTCTAAGAACCTCTGTAATGGGACACTAATGTCAATATTTGCACAGTTTCAGGATCCAACGATTCTATCAGTAAACTGGAGTACTACACTGGGGAGAGTTTGAACGGATCTGATGCAGAACAAGGAAACGCTGAAGTGTTTCTTCCGAATGGTGAGTGAGTGAAATAATTATTGTATGCGATACAGCCTCTGATTAATTCGACGAGACGTTTCAAAGCACTCCACATTCTTCAGTGTGACTTGTAGTGATTGTGTATCTCCTGATGAACTGGAAAGGCAATTTGTGCGCAAAATATGCACAGTAATCAGGAGGAACGTGGGGCAACGCTGCAGTATAAGAACTATTTCCCTTTTGAGATTTGCAACATTTAAATTCCAGCTAAACAGGCAAACGGAGCTCAATGCACTGCACTCCCCCAGTACTGCCTTGAAGAGCTATCCAGAGTGTGATCTTAGTCCCCGAGTGGATTACAATCAGAACCTTCCGACCCAGAGGCTAAAGAGCTCCCAATTTATCCAGTTTTCACAGTAAAACAAGCTTTAATCTTCAGATAAAGTATCCCAAAAGAAATTCAGGACTTTTTCATAGTTCAGGCATAAGATACATTGAGCACCACTGTGTCCAAATTTGGGTGGATATGGATAGACATTTGGGGAACAAATTTGCAGGCTCTGGGTAGAGCGCGGAAGAGTTGGAGTAATTTTGGTCGCTCTTTCAATAGATGGACTGAGTGGCCTCCTTCTGTGCTGTACAATATTACGATATCTGCCTCCTTTTCCTATCTGAATGTTTGAGTGCGTAAGACTGACTCCCTGTTATCAGATCATCTTCAGGAAGATTATGATTATGACGTCGCTGAGAGCGGAACCTTCGAGATGGCGGAACGTGACCTTCTCCTGGTCACTGACACACACCCTGATGTTCCCTCACTGACCAGCCCCACTGTCCAGGAAGCCTCGCTCTCTCAGGGTAACAGCCTAACTGTCATGTCTTAACTTACTGCGGGAGATATTTAATCAGCAACCCATCTGGGAGCAACACTCATTATCACAATCACGATCTTTATCAATCCTACTATCGATACAGCAATGTCACGGCATTAGGATAACAACAACAAAATTACATTTGTTCTGCGTCTTTGAACTTTGGAAGTCCCGGATACACTTTAGTGTGTAGTGACTGCATATATGGTCGGTTGATATGTGTTTGCACCAATGGCTTCCTAATAGCGAAGCTGGTGATATTTGTCCTTGCTGTGGTTTCTAAAGGTAGAAAAATTATGGGTCGATGTGAAATCTGAAACGGATATTTCTCGGGTTCCTCAATTCAACTCCGAAGCTGCTTGTAATGTCAATGTTTTTACATGCAAAATGTTCCGCTGTGTAATGTCAAAAATTGCACATAAAGAATGTTGCTGCGACTTACCGATGAACACAGATATCCTTGTTTCTATGTCTTGTCAATCACAATCATGATGTCATTGAAGAAATGACATTTTACACCACTGCAATCAATTATTTAAATAACTGTTTCAAAATTATTTGTCCCATTAAAATTTAACAAGTCAAAAGGAATTCCATCTTGATCACCCAACCCATCTAATGCTAAATATTCTAATTGTAGTAATGGATGTAAAACATACAATCACAAATACACGATGGTTATCTCTCCAGTCTGTGTGTGTCCCTCTCACGGGCACAGAGTTACACACAAAACATACACAGACACCCACGAAGCATACACACTCACAGACACAGGCGGACACACGCACACATTGACACACACAAGGAAAACAACACAGACACTCACAGACAGACAGACATTCATAGACAAACACTCAAACAACACGTAGAGACACACAGACACACACATTCACATACACGCAGACACACAGTGTCTCCTTTCTCAATGTAATAATTAGATCATGGTTCTCTCTACAGAGGGTGGACACCACACAGACAGTGACCCGCTGATTCCTGTTGACTCCAGTCAGTGTGATTATGATTATGATGATATTGACTGTGAGAATGACACCGAGAAGCACAGGCCGCTTCCCATTGGGAATCAAAGGGCATCTCCCGAGCTTTGCACCGTCTAATCGCAACATCCACATCAAACAGGTGAGTTTAGGTCTTCATGATTTACAGCATTACTCACATCACAGAAAGCCGCCAATGATTGATATTATCGTCCTGTTGACATGTGTACTCGTAGTCACAGTTACAGGTGATTGTAATGGTTATACAACTTGACCAGCAACGGTCAGTGATTTTAATCATTCACAATCCTGACTGGAGGCTAATATTAGACAGAATGGCAGTGGTCATGTGCATTTGTCCCACATGTCTTCACGCCAATGATGATGAACTAAAATTAAAAGCTTCTTGTCAGCAATTTCACAGTGATGTGATCCATGGTTGGTTGCGACTGAAACGATAATTTGTATTTACCATTCTAAACTGTTGAAACTATTTTCTTTATTTGACTCAGAGATTATTTTTCCTATACTTTACTCGCCGAACTTTTATGTTATTTTCTGAATCAAAATTTAATTACACATTCTGCTATTTGAGCGTAAAAAGTCCTTCTTCCTTTGTAAATGTGGTATCAAATGGCAGAAAGATTAACTAAAATAGTTGGAAACAGTCTCTCAAACAGCAGCCGCTGAACGAAACCCAAGTAACCGCCCAAGAGATTGTCAAAGCCAATGTGCTGTACTTTAGGGTGTTATAAATGGATCAGTATTATGTTATTGATGAGAATAAACTTATTTCCTTAAAATAATATCTTTTATTGTCTATTTTACAGAGCCAACCGAAATTTCATCACCAATAATTATTGATTATCTTTAGATAGAAACCAGTGAATAAGATGAATATACACGTTCCACCAGCATACCAACGCAATTAATATGAACCCGTGTCACATATTTCTGTGATAGCAATTTCCATGTGTGCTCTGTGTAAAACATTCCTCTGTGATTTTCAGAAGGATTTGTTTGCATTTCAGGTTGAAAATAACGTGTGTTTTATACATTGAAGTAATCTGATGCCTGTATTAGTGCTATCATATTACACAGAAAATTGTTGCATTTTTATCCTTTACTATTTTGTTTTGAATTTGCTTTGATGCTTACGATTCTAGACTGCAATAGAGCTTAAGTTTTTTTTATTTCCCGTCATTTTAAAAGATTTATTGTGAAAAAAATATTAGATTCCTGCGCATATTTCTTGAGATTATTTGCTGAATTTTATCAATCAAGTTATTGTATCGACGAAAGAGAAATTGGTCAATTGGATAAAAACGGATCCAGTTTCAGATGAAGTGTGTATCCGAACCAGAAAGTTCTGTGATTATTCTGTAAACTGCAGCGAATGTTAGTTTTGGGATTAATACTAAAAGTTCAAGAAGAGCAAACAAAAGAGAATTGATGTTTTGACAGCACCCATCGTATCTGACGAGAGAGATTTCTGCTGTTAACTGTTCACCTATTTAACAAAAAGATTGTAAATGTTGAGTGAAAATCAAATAGACTTCAATAAATATCAAATGAACATGAAACCGCCCAGTTGTTTGTCATTGTTTTCAAATGCACAACACACTAACCACTGACATCGGTCTGTCCCTGAATACACTAGATTGCAACAAAACAGCAGGTTCGTGATCTGAAATTCGGTGTCATTCTCAAGAAATTCAGTCTGGATCATTGAATCTGTCACACAAACAAACAAACAAACAAACAAGGAAATACATGGAAACATAGATGCATAGATAAATAGACAATTATGTAAAGAAAAACAGTTTGCGAGGGACAGTTGGCAGAGTAATGTGTGAGATACTGAGTGGAGTGGGAAGATTGGCAGGGAGTGTGGGAATGTGGATCAGGGAAGAGAGATTTGCCCCCGGGGTCTGTGGTCGTTGGGCTTGGGGTGATAGTGGGGAATGGGGCAATCAGTGTGGCTGCTGCTGGGGCAGAGGGAGGCCGTGGAATCAACCAGTAATGATAAGAGATGAGGAGGAAGAAGAGAGTGGAGGACTGAAAGGGATTGACACGTTTAGAGTGTATAGATGTGGGGTAGAAAGCAGGAAGACGTGTTGGGTAGACGATACTGATGTGGGTAGAGGGTAGTTTTGTGGGGTACAGGGCAGTAGTGTGGGGTAGAGGGCAGTGGTGTGGTGTAGAGAGCAGTGATCTGGGGTAGAGGGCAGTGATGTGGGGTAGAGGTCAGTGATGTGGATTTGAGGGCAGTGACGTGGGTTAGAGGGCAATGATGTGGGGTAGAGGGCAGCAATATAGGGTAAAGGGCAGCGATGTGGGGTAGTGGGCAGTGATGTAGGGTACAGGGCAGTGATGTGAGTTAGAGGGCAGTGATGTGGGGTAGAGGGCAGTGATGTAGGGTAGAGGGCAGTGATGTGGGATAGAGGGCAGTGATGTGGGGTAGAGGGCAGTGATGTGGGGTAGAGGGCAGTGATGTGGGGCAGAGGGCAGTAATTGGGGTAGAGGGCAGTGATGTGGGGCTGACCAAACCCGGCTGCTCGAGCGCAGTTGGCAAAAAATCTTCAAATCAAATGTGAAGTGCGAGGAGGTCATGGACTAATTTTCAACTGTAATAAATCATGTCCGCCTGACATCCTCATCCTCCTGCCTCTTGTCACCCACTAACACAGCCTTTCCGTGCCCCTCAGCCTCCCCCCTCTCTTCCTACATTCAGGGCAGCGCCTTTCTTCACCTCCTTCCCCCTCCCTCTCGCTCAGCCTCGGTAATATTTATTGTGAAGCGCTCTGAGACGCCGTCCGGCTTGGACGGCGCTACACATATCTAAGTTTTTGTTATTGATTTTCCATCAACTCCACAGTCTCTGAGCTCCAATGTCTGTGCTCTGCCCTCTGTACCTGTGGCCTCCTGAGGCTCTGAGCTCCTATGTCTGTGCCCTGCCCTGTGCATCCGTGGCCTCCTGAGGCTCTGATCTCCAATATCTGTGCTGTGCCCTGGGTACGTGACCTCCTGAGGCTCTGACCTCTAATGTCTGTCCTGTGCCCTGGGTACCCGTGCCCTCCTGAGGCTCTGGGCTCCAATGTCTGTGCTGTGCCCTGTGTACCCGTGGCCTCCTGAGGCTCTGAACTCCAATGTATGTGCTGTGACCTGGGTACACGTGGCCTCCTGAGGTTCTGAGCTCCAATGTCTGTGCTGTGCCAGTGTACCGTGGCCTCCTGAGACTCTGAGCTCCAATGTCTGTGCTGTGCCTTGGGTACCCGCGGCCACCTGAGGCTCTGAGATCCAATGTCTGTGCTGTGCCCTGGGTACCCGTGCCCTCCTGAGGCTCTGGGCTCCAATGTCTGTGCTGTGCCAGCGTACCTTGGCCTCCTGAGGCTCTGAGCTGCAATGTTTGTGCTTTGTTCAGGTTACCCGTCGGAACTTGAGGCCCTGAGCTCCAATGTCTGTGCGCTGCCCTGGTTACCCGTGGCCCCTTGAGGCTCTGAGCTCCAATCTCTGTGCCCTGCCCTTGGTACTCGTGGCCGCCTGAGGCTCTGAGCTCCAATGTCTGTGCTCTGCCCTTGGTACTCGTGGCCTCTTGAGGCTCTGAGCTCCAAGACCTGTGTCCTGCCCTGGGTATCCGTGGCCTCCTGAGGTTCTGAGCTCCAATGTCTCTGCCCTTCCCTGCATACCCATGGCCTCCTGAGGCTCTGAGCACTAATGTCTCTGCTCTGCCCTGGGTAGTCGTGGCCTCCTGAGGTTCTGAACTCCAATGTCTGTGCTCTGCCCTCTCTACCCGTGGCCTCCTGAGGCTCTGAGCTTCAATGTCAGTGCTGCGTTTGGTTGTCTGTTTCAGGGGGAATGAAGTTTAATATTTTATATAGTTCATTTCAGACTCTCTGAAATAAATTCACTTTAATGTTGTCTCTCCTTTGTGAATCAGAACTAACATCCAGTGGTACAGGGAAAGGCAAGTGAGATGGACAAAACACGTCTTACATTCAAAGACCTCTCCAACAAATGTCTCTCTTCTGTTTTGCAAACGCTCAACACACAGTGATCCCTCACTGAGATGTAAAGAGTGACTATGGCAACTGATATCCGATAACATCTCATCCGGCTGAGTGTTTCCTGCTTGAAATCAACTGTGTTTGCATGTGAGTGTGCGTGAGAAAGAGACCGGGGTGGGGGGTATTTATCCATATCCACTGTTAATAATACTAACGTTAGGAGCAGAAAATAAATTTCCCGAGCGTTTCTGTGCTATAACTGCAGGCATCGCATACACTGGAGAACAAATCACTGTGAAATTTGAACCTCAGAGGCCCAATTTCCCTAACATCTGAGTTGTGCTCACAGTCGATACGTCTACCAGCCAGAACCCCCTCATGTAATTAATTGTGACCATCATTTGATCACACATATTCCAAATGACTTTATTCTGAGCTATAAATTACTAAAGTTCTGTGCTGACTTTTTGTGTTTGAAAGAGTTACCATTGCAACTGCTGTCAGATTACATCTGAGCTGCTGCTTGTTTTCTGCTTGAGACAAGTTTGTGTGTGTATGTGTGTGTGTGTGTGTGTGTGTGTGCGAGAGAGACATACAGAGAAAAAAAGAGTTGGACTGACTGCGAAAGCTAAAGCGACTATCAAGAGAGTTAACATAAATTTATGTTTTCTGGCACAGGCTGCGCCCTGCAGTTTCTGGTGCTTTGCTGAAGGTTCTGGATGTGGAGCTTGAAATAAATTCCGTCCTTAATAATGATAATAATAATAATAATAATAATAATAATGCTTGTGTGTGTGAGAAAGAAAGAGACCGGGGATGGCGGGTTGGAGGGATGTCATCTTGGTAGATGGGGGTGAAGGGGTAGGAGTTTGCGTGACGAGGACTACTGGAGCGGAAGCTGCAGAGGCAGCTCATACAAAGAGATAGAAATTAATTTTGTGGACACGGTCTACACCACAACATTTCTGGTGCTTTGCAGCTGGACCTGGGTTTGTGGTTGAAGTAAACAGATTCAAATTAACACATTAGAACGAGTTATCTAAATCCACTATTATTGCAACTTGAAATATGTCAAATAGCGCAAATAATGTAGCAGCAAAGAATAAAATATGT